GCTTTACCACAGAGCTATATCCCCAGCCCTTCTTACTATTTTGGGGTACTAAGGATTGAACTCAGGGGCACTTGACCACTGAGCCGCATTCCCAGTCCTATTTTGTACTTTATTTAGAGACAGGGTCTCACTGAGGTGCTTAAGGCCTTGCTAAATTGCTGAGGCTGGCTTTGAACTAGCAATCCTCCTATCTCAGCCTCCCGGGTCCCGAGGATTATAGGCGTGTGCCACCGTGCCTGGCTTATTTTTTTTGAGACAAGGTCTTGCTTAGTTGCTGTGGCTGGTCTGAATTTGTATTCCTGCCTCAGCTCTAAATATCTAGATTTCAGGTGTATCCACAGGGCGCCTGGTGGAGCTGTGATTTTGAGGTGAAGGAGGTGCCAGAGGTCACATGGTTAATAAGCAAAAGGGCCAGTATGGGAACCTAAGCAGTCCAACTCCAGAGCTGCACTCCTGGCCCCTGCAGCAGATGGATGAAGGCCCAAGAGGTCCTGTGAGACCCTCTGAAGTGTGTGGAAGCACTGTAGGTCCAAGGGGACAAGAGGAGAGGGCCCATGGCTTGAGATGCAGTACAGAGCCCCACTAGGGGACAGTGGAGTGTTGGAAGAGGTGGGCAGGGCCACACTGTTGGGGGTTGGGCTTCATCCTGGATGCCATGTGGAGCCTGAGCAGCTGGATTTGTGGGCTCACATAAGACCAGCAGGAAGTGGGCAGGGCTGCAGAAGCAGCTGAGGCTGAAGACAGGTGGGGTCATCTGGAAGCCACTGTGGTGACCCATCTGACCTGGGCAGGGCAAAGAGCTGCTGGCCAGAATCTGTCCAGTAGCCAGCTGAGAGCAAGTGCTGCAGTGTCCTGAGAGAACAGAATCACTGGATGTGCTGAGGTCCCCCAAAGTTCTCAGATCCCCATTTTTAGGCACCCAGGGATTAAACCCAGGGGTGTTTGACCATCAAGCCATGTCCTTAGCCCTTTTTTGAGACAGGTCTCACTAAGCTGCTTAGGGCCTTGCTTCATTGCTGAAGCTGCCTTCAAACTTGCCATCCTCCTGCCTCAGCCTCGGGAGTGGCTGGGATCATAGGCATAAACCACTCTGCCTGGCTAGGGAAGGCCTTAGCTCTCTGCAAAGCAGATGAGTTTTTAATCCATGCACAAAGAAAACTGGATTTAGGGCTGGGGCTCAGAGATAGAGTGCTCATGTAGCACTAGCACGTGCTAGGCCCTGGGTTTGATCCTCAGCACCATATAAAAATAAATAAAATAAATGTATAAAAAAATTCTTTAAAAAAATTGGACTTAGACTTTTTCTTCAGAACCTGTATTATTTATCATCTAACTAACACAGGTGGTCAGCTAGATCCCAAATAAACATT